CACGAGCGTGATTGTGTGCGATCGGGCATACGTGTGTGTGAGCGGCTTATCGATTCGCCGACTAGCCGCGGGCGCTTTTCTTCATGTGCGCCGTATCTGTAAACGTGTGTGTCGTACCTGCGTTCCGGGAAAGCAATTAAACCGTTCAAAGAAAACGAGACTTCTCTGGACGGCTGGAGAATGTTCCCGAAAGGAGGCAAGGGAGTATAAACAGGAAGAGACGATCGCCGAAGTGGAGGAAAAATAAATTGACCGTTGCAGAAGTGAATCTAGAAATAAATTGACAGCGCAGTGAATAGTGATTTAGTAATAGTACTGTAAATAAATAGAGTAATTTATCACCCAAGTTAGTTATAATTTAATTGTGTTTTTAGGTCCAATAATAATTAGTGTAAATAAATAATTTTTGTCGTTGTGAGTCTTAAAAGTTTAATTTGTTAAACCCACGAACATTACAATATCGAATTGATATCCGCCTACCGTGAAAACCGTGACTTTCCTGCAAGATTATTTGGTGTGCTAATAGATGACATCAGCCTTAAAAAATTATTTCAAAAACTTTACTTAATAGATGAACGTAAAGCTGAAGATACTATGAATGCTACTTTTTTTCTCGTGTTACAATGTGTAAAAAATTGTAATCAAAATGGAGTAAATATTTTTTGAAGTGAAACTTCATTGCGCCCGGTGGGGTAAGTTTGTTTCATGCGAGTTGCTATGTAACGAAATCATGCAACGGATGTCCCCCCTCTACTCGGCCACGTGGTCGAGTTCGTAGTGAGGATCGCTTGAGCCGTGAGCGTGCTTCAGTGCAACGTTGGTTACAGGCACCTTCGGCATGTAGAGTGTAAAATTTAAATTCATAGTGTACAAATTATACCATTAAACCAATTCGTTAATCCCTATCCCGGTATGTTTATGTGTCTGAAGCAGTTTCACTTCAGTAGAGTGTTGTATAATTACACGTTGTATTTTTTTTTGATATCAAAAGATTTACATCAACCTACCCCCACCCATCGACAGGGACAACATATTTTCGTGTTATAGCATCAGTCCGGGAACTCTTGGGTCGCACCTTGTTTTTTATTTACTTTCCTAAAATTTCGCATTCTTTCGAATGGCACTATTAGTTTTTACAAACAAATAAAAATTAAAAAGTTAAAGAATTTTAGCTAAAGCTACACTTGATTAACATTTTTTAAGTTAATTAATAATGATACTGTCTAAAATACGTTCTTAATAAAAGTGAACCTATGCCTGTGTAGGAGTCTTATTTTATTACACTAATTGCCTTAAAAAATCTTATATTACAGTATATCAGCATAATTTTCATCAGTCCGTAGCTATATGTGTCAGTCCCTAGACGTCTAAATTTACAAAAACCTGAATTTCTCTTAAAATACTAAACAAAGCGTCTGGCCCTTTTGAACAATAATTATTCTATCGATCAGTCACAAAACACACTAATTTAAAATTGCACAGTATGTAAAAAATAGTAAAGACTAATTACATCATAAAGTTGCCCTATTTTCATGGAATCACCCAAATACATTTATGCGGTATTTTGCGTTTGCAGAAAATTCAGTAGACTTATCCGATGACTTTATTTCTCTTGGCCTGGTCGGAACAGCTATAATCCTTTTTTTTACAAAATCCAACCTAGGCCTTTTATTTGGAGGCACTTTAACAAAGGCATAGTGTCAGAAAAGATTTGAAGGAATAAAAACGGTGTTATAACAAAATCAAAAGAATTGAGTTGCTTCGGCTATTGTTTTAGAATAGATTATTTTATGCATATGCAATCGTATGTAATACAGGAAGAATCGTAATATTCAGTGCCATCTAGTTGTAGGAAGCAAAACAATATTTAAGAAGAAAAGACTCCTACTCTTACGTTTGGTATTACAGAATCGCTTGTAGAACAGTAAATTTCATTTTGTACGCTAGATAGCATTTATTCCGAAAAACACATTTAAAATGAAAACATGAATATGTGCAACGAAATTCAAACCGTAAAGTATTCGTTTTACTGGAAAGGTTAAAACCCGATCGCTAATCTATACGGCGGTCGTCAATAACCTAACCTACCCCCACGAGGGGTAATTCTTACAGGAGTCTTTTTCCGACACTGTCGGGTTTTCTCTCCTTTTCTCTTTACCATTAACCTACTCTGTTGACCTACCCCGTTCACCCTTTACCTAAAAGAAAACTTCTCAAATTAATTAAAAATAGAGAAATAGACATATACATTCGCAATGCGTAATGTAGCAAAAATAATGTACATGGATGCAAATAATTGTCACTTTCTATTTATGCAGTATTCCATACCGCCGCGTAGACTTCTGTTCCGCATAATAACTGCAATATATGTAGTATTTAATATGCGTATAATAGAATAATCTATTCTTAACGGTTTACCATTCAAACCAATACTGGAATTAATTATTTATTACTACAAACAAACTACTCCTTAATCGTACACAAAAATATCTTTATTTTCCTCGACTGATATAAGTATTAATACTTTAGATTTCAAGTTTTTAATATTTTAATGGAAATTAATAGCATACACGTAGACAAGACATACAGCATATAACTAACAGCTATTAAAAACTACTTACCCATGTATGGTATGGTTGCTATATAAACGAACAGTATTCTGTAAAAAAGAGGGCAGATATTTATATACTACGAAATTTAATCAACTTTTTATCAAGTCACTGAAGTGGTCCGAATTTCAATAAATTTATATGGATGGTAAACTATGACATTTGATATAAAACAAAGATACCATTTATATT